GTGTTTGGTGCTGACGTGTGGTGCAAGTGCTTTTGTGTTTGAAATAAAATTTTGGGAAGGAGAAGAATTATTTTTTAAAGAGAGTACAAAATAATATTAGAACATAAAAAATTACAGGTAATACAGAGTTTCACTAAAAGTCATCTGAATATCATAGTATTTCGTGTAATACATTGTGTTACCGGCCAATCAGTTGTTCATATTATCAGATATATTCATGTAAAGTTGGAAGAAGAAAGAAATATTTAACAAATTAAAAGGAAGATAGTATAAACATTTGAAAAAAGGAGATAAAATAAATTAAGAAAAATGTTAGACCATCAGAAATGCATAGCGCTGCTGTCCAAAACATCCAGCAAACATACGCAGATACATTTTTCATCTATTTCTCTCTCTCTCCCTCTCTCTCTCCCTCTCCCTCTCCTTCTTCTTCTTCCTCTCCCTCTCCTTCTCCCTTTCCCTCTCTCCCTCCCTGCCTCTCTCGTGTCCTTTTTATTTCAAATAAGTTCATTTCCTCTTCCCAGTATCTATTGTATCCTTCAGCTTCCATTTTATCTTTTAGGTTTTCACTCGAAGGAGTTTGGTGATTCTGTAAAAACCTAGGATTGCAGATCCTATTCAAGCCAGCTGTTTCCCTCCTGGATATTTTCCCAGAAGAACCAAAAGCCTCCTACACAGTGATATAAGTCCACCCATGTTTAGAGCAGCACAACTTGTCATACCTAAAACCTAGAAACAACCGAGATGTCCATCAGCTGAAGAATGAATAAAGAAAATGTTATTATTCAGTTATAAAACAGGATGACTTTGAGTCCAATGATGGTAAATGGAAGCAACTAGAGAACATACCGCTAAGTGAAAGGCATCAGACTTGCTATTGTAAATGTTGTTTCCTCAGCAGGAAACAAAAGTATTAAAGACAAACACATTACTGTGTAAGACAAACGCCTGAATTCCTGGAAAGCATGGGAGGTGGTCAGAAATTTACACAAAGACATAATCACCAGAATTATAGAATATCTCACTAAGCATATACTGGAAGTAATGAGAGTAAAGTTACTCTCATGAAGTGGATTAAGCGGTTTGTATTGGCAGTCCCATAGATTAAAAATCATTTTGTAAGTACAGGCAGCAGTAGAGGTGAATGTGTGTACAAAATTCCTCCAAATGAACATTACACAAATTTCTGTCAATATGCAGTTAAAAGGAAACACATTGAATTAATGTAAAATAATTATATTTTAAAAAGGATGTAAACTACTGCATGGAATGGAAATGTACAAAAAAGCAGGAGTTACTATACTAATTTTAGACAAAATAGTCTTCAAGTGTAAAAACATCAGTAGAGAAAAAATGAACTTCACTTTTCCTCACTTGAGAGAAAAATTCAACAGGAAGAGACAGCAATTTAACACCTCTATACCCCAAAGACCAGCGGACTGACATATAAAACAGCAGTTTTGGAGACTGAAGATTTGTAGTGGAAAACTGTCTCAACAGTCAAAGCAGTTGTCACTTAAACTCCTTCCTGCACTTCTCTAGAAAATCAGAAATTCTTTCAATATAGTGCTTTAATCCCTGCGCCTTCACTACATGATCAAATGTTGTCGTATTTCTTTCCCTTAAGTAATATAGTGAAGATGCAGATGGATGCAAGCAATTGGAAACTCGGGACCTGCACACGGACCTATGGAGTACAAGGAGGCCACTCACGTGGGACACGGGTCTGTTCATCCCAAAAGAAGGATGTGCCCAGACATCCTCAGGGCCACTGCAAGGACCTATGCAAAGCCCACTTGCCCAATGATCTTGAGTTGGGAAACAAACACTCACTCTAAGTGGCTGGGAGGCAGCCCTCAGGGACTCCTTCCTCACGGTACCCAAACGTGTCCTGCAAGTCCTCCACAAACGCCCACAGCTAAATGTGCCTAATTGGAGCACGGAAGACAACCTGTTTTCATAGGACACTAACATGAGTTTGTCTTGTATATACTTTCTTCAGCAGAATAAACAGAATAAATAGAAATTGAGGTAATAT